GGGGGGGGGGGGGGTGTTTAAAATCAACTTTCCCATTGTATTTTTTTTAAAGAAAGATGTATTTTCATTTGTTAATATAACAATTAAAACATGTCAATTTATAACTAAATTGAATTTTTTTTAATAATAGATTTGTTACATGTTTCCTAGGTACACAAACTAGATACACACATTAAAAAACACATAGCTCAGCATATTTGGATAGTTAGAAATCTTACAGTTTAGTACGCTCTAAAATGATTAAACATTTCTTAGTACCTAGATGATTAACTTTTTGCTTGTTTGTACCAAACTGCATTAAGTTGGAAACTTGGCAGTTTTCCCCTCCAGTTTCCAGGTGTTGAAATCAAGATTAGTCTGCACTCCACAGAAAGTTGTTCCTTTTCCTACACTGTCTTGAGCCCAGCATTGGTCTTCTGTTGCACTCATTGCTCCTTACTCTGCTCTAGCTCCCTCCCTCCTCCACACAAGAAATTAACAAGCCACAAGTCCTACCTGTGATAAAACCCACCATACCCTTCACCCTCCCCACATCCCCGCCCCCAAAAACAAGCAACCAAAACCCTCCCCGCTAAGCCACAATTTCCGCTGGCCTTGTGCGCTGCAGTACTTTAGTTTAGAGAAGTAGACAGTGCACTTGAGAAGTTAACATTTACATCTGTGTAAATGTACAAAAGGGACAAAAAAAGGCCATTTAAACTGAAGTACCCAGAGGGAGAGGGTTGGCAGTTACTGAGCAGATGGCTGTTCTCCCACGAGCTAGAGACAGCCTACATTATGGTGATAAAATCATAAGCAGTCAGTTTGAGAGCTGAGCTAATGAGAGCTCTGGTAGACAGAATAAAAACAGGAGTCTGATACCACCTAGGTGCTCAATAGATAATCCTGATCAAGGAGCACACATGAGATTGTGGGGGAATGACAAAAAAACCCCCCAGTGCTTTACCAGAAGAGAAATCATGACAGTTTGGCTGGAGTGCTTTTCACATGCATCTCATGTTCTTCAGCACAGCTTTTTGGCACTTATTTAATAGCCAGTTCAATCAGCTATTAAATACACTTCAGCAGGGCTTTTTGACACTTTTGAGAGGTATACAGAAGCTGGGCAAGTGGGGTCAAACCGACTGTTCCTCTTCTGGGCATGTACTGCACTTGGCACAGGGGCACATCAAGCTGAAAGTAGAAAGCTATTTTGGGGAGGGGGTAGGGTTCTAGATCTGTAAGCACCCATGGCATCTGCTGGAGTCAGAAGGCAGGTTCCAACACCTGAGATTTACTGCTGATCATTTGCATCTAGTAGTATAGACCTTGCATCTCTTCCTGGAAGGGTTAAGCCTCCAGTACACAAAATAGTATCATATTTTTTTATGTTTGACCTAAAAAATTCGATGTTTTCGCCCTCATTCTTGTATCTAAGAAAAAACAGCCTTTAACTCCAGTTTTAGTAGAGGTTCACTGACTTAAAAGTTAACATGTTAACAGATTACAGGCATACCTCGGAGATATTGTGTGTTCGGTTCCAGACCACCGCAGTAAAGCGAGTCTCACGAATTTTTTGGTTTCCCAGTGCATATA